AGTGCAGAATTAAGATCGCTTAATAAGTGATCCAATTATTATTAAAATCCCATTAGCAATGGAGACTGTCACAATCTTCCAAAGGACAACATTTTAAACAATATAATGTCATATGCCAATAACTACTATATTTTCTTAAGCAATAACCTTCCATTGTGTTGGAGAGCCATGTGCACGCCAATGAAGCAAGTGATATTCCAAGAAAAGCCAAGGATTTTTTTTCTTTTTTTCTTGCTCACATGGAGTTAGAGGTTTTTGGCTAATAAAGTGGGTTTCATTTGACATTTAGACATTTGTTGGTCTGTCAAAATAATTAAGCTTTAATTAGTCTACGTACGTCAATTTTGTTTGTTTCTATTTGTATATGAATCTCTGCACATAAGGCATTACATACCAACCGTATGCGTAGATTACTTTGTTGTGATTGTTGGAGCCCTCTTTTGATCTTTTCTCAAAAGTAGCAACAAGATTCCCTGCTCTGCCTAGAATATGCATTGATTCTCCCATCTCACTGCAACCATAACCATTGCTCAATTGGAACAGCCTTCGTCCGAGATCAGTTGACCCGAAATGATTGCAGGCTGCGAGGATAAGGGTGGTAGAGGTAGACCATTAATTATTTTTGGTTGGTATTATAAGCAAAAGCAAGGAATACTTGCCAACACATTTTTGGTTGGTATTATAAGCAAGAGCAAGGAATACTTAGTTGGTGTACCGACTAAGTATTCCTCTTTCTTTTGGCTTTAACCTTCCATAGTTCCATTGTGTTGAAGAGTCACACGCTAATGAACTTTCAACACAAGCAAGAAACTAGTTAAAATGGCTTATAGACTTTCTTGGCATCGAACTGTTTCAAGTTTATATCTCTCTTCCTTTGTTATAGTAATTTAGTTAGCGGTTATACCCACATAGCTATATAGGGTCTTATCCATCTAATTGGTCTAAGTATCTCCCCAGTGGTCTCCTTCTGATTGAAAGCTTGAAACTCTTGACATAAACCGCATTATGTCATGGAAAATCCAAGAAGCAGGAAAAGACACTTAAACCAGAGAAAGCAGCAGTACGAACCAGAAGACCGTTTGAACCGGAAATCCAGAGGAGCCATTCCAGAAAAACCCGGGTAAATGGCTTCTGGAAATCTCTTATTTCCCCTTCTTCTTCCTCCAGTATCCTCCAGCCTCCGTTATCGGAATAATCTTCGAGCGTTGGCTTACCGGAATCACGATAAGAGGCATACACTTTGGCCCTGTTTTATTTCTCAAAAAAATTCCTCTGGTCTCCTGCAATCATATCCTAAGCTTATTATGCAATGTGTATAGCCACATCTAAAAAAAAAAAGAAGAATAGAGATTTCAAAAACACCACAGAGACATTCCCTTCCTTTAAAATCACAAACAATTAGAAGACAATTATATTAGAGAACCAAGCAATCCAATCATCGATCTGGAATCATCAGCTTCGTTTCTGGTACTTGGTTCTCCAGATTCAGATTCAGCTTCATCAAACTAGGCATGGCCTCTTCTTCTATATACAACTCATGCATGTAATCTTACGTAGATGATTTCAAGCTTCCTCAGCCGACCAATGATTTCAAGCTTCCTCAGCCGACCAGATCTGGTGACAATATTCGAGGACCAGATCTTCTAGTCTTGGCAATTTCTGCAAAACAAGCATGGGATCTTCCTCGAGCTTTGATCCCTGCAGCCTAAACATTTCAAGACTGGGAAAGATCAAATCCATGTCTTTGGGAAGTTTCCTTATGTCACAATGCAGTGTCAACTCAACTAGGAATTGGAACCTAACTGCTTCTTCCGATTCCGACAATAATAAGTTGAAGATCTTCACCTCCAACTTGAGGACACGAAGATTTGTCAGTTTAGACAAGGAAACCAAGTCCAAAGGAAATATTTTCTGGTGTTCCCACGTGGAATATTGGTCGTAGATCTCCAAGTCCCGAAGATTTTTAAGTGACTCATGTTTGAGTTTGCTCCAGCTGTATGAGGAGATAGACCTCAAGGTCTGAAGGTTTCCTGCGTCTCCTATTAGCAATTCTCCCACGAATTTGCCGATTACATGCCTGAGTGATGTCAGCTTACTTAGATCGGTCGTTCTCTCGAAGTCCAAGGACTGCTTGCCCCCAGCATCTAGTGTTTGCAAGAACCGTAAATTGGAGATAAAAGCTGGTAAATTGTTGAGACCAGTATCAGCGACCCCAAGGTACCTCAAGTGGATTAACTCCCCGATCACAGCTGGTAAACTAAAGTGGAACTCTCCATGAAAAAGAAACATAAGCCCTCCAAGATTAAGCACACGAAGTAGCTTCAGCTTCAAGGTAAATGTTTCAACATAACCCCCTGAAATTCCTGGCCCTTGTCCGAAGAACAACAAGGACCGTAATCCTTTGTTCACACGTCTGTCGCACAAGTAGCGGTTGTTTATAAGATGGTGAGACACTTCTCTTCTGCAACTTGTTGAAGAATGCTGGTCGTTATAAACATTTACAAAGTTGAGCTCTTTCGCTTTCTTAATGGCCACATCCCTCAGTAGATCATGGATTCTACAAGACATCACCTTCCTTCTTTCTATTTTTTCGGCTTTCACTAAGCTTCTGTCTATCAACTCTTCGATATAATACCGAGCCAAGTCTTCCATCGTCATCTCTTCATCCTTTTGTATAAACCCTTCTGCTACAAGCAATCGTATCAAATCCTTTACATTGATCTCATAGTCCTCTGGGAAGACACTGAGGTAAAGAAAGCAAAGTTTCAACTCTTGTCGCATCTCCTTGAATCTTAAATCAAATACACTAGTGGAGACATGAATGGAATTATCCTTCAGGCGTCGCCATAAACTGGTGCACATCTCATGCCACTCGTTTTTCCTCATTCGAGACAAAAGCCCCGCAAGAACGACTATAGCAAGCGGTAATCCACCGCATTTTTGAACCATTTCTTTTCCAATCTTCTGCAGATCTTCATCAACCCGTTGCATGTTCCCGAATGCTCTTTGTTCAAACAATTTCCAGCTTTCATCAAACGTCAAGAACCTTAACTTATGTGCGTAGACTCTCTCGTCCACGCCTTCGGCCACGGCTCTAACACGCATAGTGATGATCACTCTACTTCATGATTGTACGGTAAAGCTACCACTACCAAATATCTTTTTCCTTCTAGAAGACCGTGAAGGTAAACTTCTAGCGCTTCCTCCGCAGATAACTTGATCTTTTCCAAATCTTCCGCAGAAGCCACTCCCAAAGATTAATGATTCTCATAAGCATATCTCTTGTATTATACTCTTGAGAAACATAGGTCCACGCACGACAATCAAATCTTCTCTTCACATCCTCTGAGTTGTAGAGCTTCCTAGCAATTGCAGTCTTTCCAAGACCTCCCATACCGAATATGGAGATCATAAATCTCTTCTCCTCCCTATCATCAAGAAGCTTTGCCAAAAGAATCTTAGCATCATCTTCCAAACCAACTACACACTCTTCATGAACGACAGATCGAGCACGTCGAAGCTTATTGGAGATAAGGAAGCTATTGGAGAATAACTTGAAGCCCAAGTTAATAGAAAGATTATTGTATATTTACCTTTTCCTAAGTTTCCTTTTGTTATAGATTTCTCATTCT